CAGCCCCACTTGTTTTTGTTTAGATTACTTTTTTTAAAGGTTGAGAACTTATTTATTATTTATTATTTTTGGCCTGCTCAGCCCACCCCGAGGGCGGGGCTGGTGCAACATGTGGTACCAGGGATCAAACCTCAGTCCCCTGAACCTGCCTAAGCTTGCCTAAGCAGGCGCTTTAGCCCATTGAGCTAACTTGCCGGCCCATGTTTACATTACTGAATAAATATAAGTTGATTATAGAATACAGGAACCTTAAAAGGAAGAGGGAAAAAAATCACCACATAACACAGGGATCTAAGTACTGTTTTTTTGGTTTTTGGCAGAACTGGGGATTGAGCTATCTCCCCAGCCCCTCTAACTACTGTTGATTTGGGTGCACTTTCTTTCTAGTGCAGTAATTTGTTTTTCCCAAACTTGCAATCTTCTTGTCTCAACCTCCCAGAATGCTGGAATTACAGGTGGTGCCACTACACATACCTAAAAACTTGAACTTCTGGCTATGAAAATCACAGAAAGATCTTGAGAAAGGAGCCTGCTACCTGTAAGGGGCTCCCTAAGAAGCAGTCCAGGCAGAAGGCCTACAGTGCATGCTGGTTTGCTTGCTCCTGGCCCTGCCCTGCCCTGCCCTGCCACATCCCTTCCTCAGGAAGCCTTGCCCAACACCCCCAGCCAGGTCAGTCTCCATGCTACAGCATGCACAGACTGGACAGTCTGAAGCTGTTTAAATGATCACCTGCTCTCTCTTTTTTTTTTGGTGGTACCAGGGATTGAACTCAGGACCCTGCACTTGCCAGGCAGGCGCTTATTCCACTGAGCTATCTCCCTGGCAATCACCAGCTCTTAACAGCATCTGCTCACTAGGTCTACACTCTGAGAGCAAAAGGATTCTCCACCTGAGCTCACTACCATGTCCAGTGATGAGCCTGTAACACGAATTTTTCCACCTCCCCTCAGAAGCCCAGTACCATTATAGCCACCCTACAGTTCAGTAAATGAACGCCTGCTCAGGTCATTCAGCCACAAAGTGGTGGCCAGCTTTATTTCCTAAACATCTTGTTACAAGGTACGACAGTCAGGGCTGAGCCTCTGATTTTATAGAAGGGGAGCATGAGGTTTTAAGGAAGGTCTGCCCAGGAGTTCTACGGCAATGGCAGGGCCAGGCTTCAGACTGGTTTTGCAAACTGAACCCATGTGCTCCTCTTCACTGAATCCCCACAGAGAAGCCTCTTAAAACCCACCCCACACTGGCCTGGGTGGCAACTTTGGAGCTGCAGGTCCCTATGGACTATGCCGCTTTTATGCTGG